CATACTTGGTAGCGATGTTTAGAAATGCCAACAAGCATTTCTGGCATCGTTGCCAGGGAAGGCATTGGTTAAAAGAATCTAGTAGGACATGAGCATGATGATATGCATGTATGGTAGCCATAGTATATGCAGGCTAACTCTGCTTGTTTTCTCCTGTTGTGGATAAAAATAGGATAGTGTATGACTGGTTTCGTCTTGCTGGAAAACTACGTCGAGAATCTAGAGGAACACCTAAGGAAGAACCGGACCCATACCACTTTTCCTTCTACTACTCCTCCATCAAACAAACCAGTCACCCCAGCACCATCCACTACTCCATCCATGGCTAAGTCACTCCGCGACTACTCCGTCCCCGTTGTTGCAATGTGCACGTTGGGCCCACTGTCAACACGGGCGTGGGAAACTTTATTTGAGCTCCATACTGGTCTCATCATGATGGTGCAGGCAAACCAATTCTGTGGTTTGCCAAGCGAGGATGCAAACACACACCTCCAACACTTCCTTGAGCTGTGCGACACCATCGTCATAAAAGATGTCGCACCTGAAAGCATCAGGCTCCGTCTGTTTCCCTTGTCCCTTGCGGGGAAGGCGAAGTAGTGGTTCTATAAGGACAAGGAAGCTGTCAACACGTGGATCAAGTGCTCCATGGCGTTCCTCCCGAAGTTCTTCCCTATGGGCAAAACCAATGCGCTGAGGGGAAGAATTTCGAACTTCCAGCAGAATTCCATGGAATCTATCCCCGAGGCGTGGGAGAGGCTGCAGGATTCCATCCAACCATGCCCACACCATGGGATAGAGAACTGGCTCATGCTCCAAAACTCCTATATGGGCTAACACCCATGTCAACGGGGGCACATCGATGTCGCTGTTGGAGGCGCTTTTCTTTCCCTCACCATCGATGGAGCTACGGCTCTCATCGAAAAGATGGTGTCCAATCAAAGCTATGGGAAGAAAGAAAATAACAAAAAGGCATGCATACCATGAAGGACGTGGATATGCTTGCCGCAAAAATGGATTTATTGATGAAAAGACTGGATGAACGGGCCCACGAAAAAAAAGCCATGAAGGGCACTGTGCAGGCCATAGAGTCGCAAATGACTTGTGAGGTCTGTGGAAACGTCGGATACTCGGGGAACGACTGCCCCGAAACCTGCGAAGATGCTGCCTACATCAACAACGGGTTCTAACAAAATAACAACGGGTGGAACAATTAGTCATGCCCGCAAGGAGGTAATTTGAATTTCAACTCAAATTATAATTTGAATCAACCTTCCTTGAAAGACCTGGTCATAGCCAATCAAAAATAAACAAAAATCTTATTAAAAAGCTTATGTATAACAATGTTTTTCTAAATGCTAAATGTTAAATAGTCGGTCATCTACCGTTTAGCCATTATTCGGGCTAAACAGTCCCTTACACGGGCTAAACGGACAATTAAACGGGGTAAATGGACGATTAAACGGAAACGGAGCACCATCGTGTATCGTTTACACGGTGTTTAAATGGGATAAACGGCCGCTTAGGTGAACAGTGATGTATAATGATAAAATGCTAGAAAATATTATTTCTAAAATTGAGAGTTTATCCTCCTCTGTTAAAAAACAACTAAGTTTTAATAAAATGATTGAAAATTAAATAGCACAGATAGCTGCCGCTATTCCTATCAACAACATGGGGAAAATCCCAGGGCAACACAAGAATTCCCCCGAGTTTGTTCATGCAGCTACAGATCAATGAAGGTGGAGAGATCTTACCTGACAGACTAAAAATGTTGAGCCCTTGCCGAAAGTAAATCAGTAGTCATCTTTAATTCCAAACTTCAAAATAAATTCAAAATTTAAAAATCAAAATTTAAAAATTTTGCTTCAAAATAGATTATAAAAAATTAAAATCAAAATCATTTTCTGATAGCATAAATTTTTCTATTATCATTTTTTATTTTTAAAGAATTTGTGAAAAATTCAAAATATAGTAAACTTTTGCGGAAAAAATTAAAAGGGGAGCAAATTCGGGTATGAAAAATGCCAAACCCCAATGGCTAGCTTCCCCTTAGCCATTGGGAGCAAGCTACCAAAAGGGGGTAGCAACGGGGCCACCGTAGGTGTAGGGGCACCAGTGGTGCGGCCGCACCCTGCTGGCCGCCGCACGCGTAGCCGCTTCTCCAATGGCTCCTAGCCGTTGCCCCCTGCCCTCCCAGGCTGGTTTTGCACTCGGCTATAAATGGGAGAGCCCGAGAGTGAGCTCTCACTCACTTCACTCTCCACATTTTCACTCTCTCATTTTTGCTCCACCACACTCTTTCCAAAAAATTTCCACTAAGTTTTAGTGCAAGGAAACTCTACTAGAAATTCTTGAGCTCTAGTCCACCAAGCAAAGATCGTGGGTTGCTAAATTTGTTTTCACTAACGTAATCCCATTTTCAAGCTTGTGTTGTTATCCCATTTTCAAGCTTGTGTTATTTTCTCCATGGGCAAATTCGGCAGGAAGCTTTCCAGCACGCTCAAGAAGGCCATGGGAGCGAGCTCAAGTCGCTCCCGTGGAAGCTCAAGCGCAAACTACTCCACCAAACGGTCTGAGAGCCCGCTGTCTTACAGAACCACCCAAACTATGTGGCCCACATGCACATGCCATTGTCCTAAAGACCTCTGATGTCTGTACACGAGCTAGATAACTTTGATAGTCGGTCGGGTGTCCTCGGGAAACCTGAATCATCCACATTTTACAACTCATACAGGATCAACATGGAGTTACCACAACATTATAACACTTGGTACCAAAATAACTTACATCGGAGTGCGGAAGACTTATAACAATAGTTTACAAAACATGTCCAAGTAAAACTTAACTTAGGTTTCAAAAGGTGAGTAGAACTATGGAAACAACTTAGGTGAAGCATCTAACGTAGAAGTGACAACCAAATCATGTCGAGCCCACTAACATGACCTTGATTAACCGCACAAGTCAGAACCTGCAATAGAGGTTAACAAACCCTGAGTACTTGAAGGTACTCAACAAGTCTTACCCAACTAAAAGAAAAGACTCCAAGAGTATGCAGGCTTAAAGGAAGGTTGGAAGCAAGAATAACTTTTGCAGAAAAACTTACTACAAGTGGATTCTTACTTTCAATGTTTTAGCTTCGTGTTAAGTTATCAGTAGTATCCAGTTTGCACCTGATCTAGCTCAATCACTTCATTAATCACCTCATCTCATCTTATCTTATATCCATAAGTAACCATGTTCCATTGATTAACTACGATGCAGGTCAGTTGATCGTGTCTCCTGTTACCGTGGAGCAAATGGTGATTCATATCGATTTGGCCCAGCTGGGGTTTCCTTACCACACGACATATGCAGGTCCTAGACCTACATATATCAACCCTCACTCGAATCCTCCAAAATGAGAATGGGTTCGCGCCACCTGAGAGCATAGACTCCACCGCCCTGTCATCCCAGATGTTTCCATATGGTGGGTACATGCAACTCTCGCCATCTCTCCACGCCTAGTGCGCGGTTGTCCATTCTCATAATTGAATAGCCAAGGTATTAGGCTTACCGGAGTATTGACCAATACCACTACACCACAACACCAAGATTAGCGATGGACGGTCTGACGCTAAAAGCGGCTACAGCGATAGACAATTTGACGCTAAAAAGTTATAGCGACAGACTTCTACAGACGCTATAAGTCCTATCGCTAAAAATCTTTAGTGTCAGACAGTACTTTTAGCGTCAGACAGCCCGTTGCCCTAAATTTTTTTAGCGACAGATAGTCTACTGCTACTCTTTAGCGACAGATAGCCTGCCAGTACTCTATAGCAACAGACAATTTAAAGTTACAAATGTTTTTAGCGACTGATGGTTTGACGAGGTCATTTAAATGCATTTTAAAAAAAATAAAAGGCCATCTAGTTGCAAATTAATACAAAAATAACATCATTGTGCACATTTCTCATACAAATAGATTCATTCATGAACGTGAAACATAGATCCATGATTAGATAAAGTTACTATGCTTCGGTATGATGTATTATTACAATCACTCCATTTTAGATGCATATAAACATTGCTTTCAAAAGAAGAAAAGTTACATGCCTGTAAAAATTGTAAATCTACACAATCAACAAGTCTATACTCTTTCACTACAGGATATAAATATTAATAAAAGTTTATCACAAAAGTTACATATGACAAATCAATACCCCAAGGGACATATATTACTTTGTTCTGTCTTTTCGTTAGGGGTTTTGCATAATGATCACTCTGAAATGGTTTGCTTCTGAAGTTTTCGAAGAACTATCCCCTAAATATCCCCACTGCTACATCATAATTCTATCAATTTACTCAAGAGTCAGCTGAAGCTTATCCAGACAGACCACACCTGCAAACAAACATCAGCTTTTCCTATCAAAAAACTATGATGCCCATTTCAGTTACCAGAGAATCAAAATAACTGATATATTTCTTTATTCCTTTTTATTTTAAGGGCAGCTTAGAACTATATAGGTACATTTCTGATAAAGAAAACAAGTTCACAGTATAGTATAGAGTATTCATCTGCTTCTATGCCTGGTAAATCATTTGCTGTAATAATCGTGGTGGTGTGACAAAGAACAAAAGAAGGCATCGGCAGTTTACCTCTTGATCTGGTGACACAAGAACTTTCCTAGTCAGGATGTTTTCACCTTTCTAATGAAGTAGCTATCACTTCTTGCTTTCTCTACAAAATAAACACCAAGACAAATAAAAATACAAAATCTAAGAAATTAGAACAAATAATTCAGTCTGACATAATTTAATTAAATTATATACATTATTAAATGTAGGAAATAAAGCACCTAAAATAGACCACATAAGTATTGTGACACTATAAATGGCTACATCACAGACCTTGAATGGCTCACAACAAAGAAATTCCGGTGCCATCCATTCTGGCTACAGGGCAAGAACACTCTAGTAGCAAGAAACCAATGAGTAGAGCAAGGGATTTGGATCATGCTATGCTATCTGGGAGATGGAATAACCTTCATGTTATGCATACCAGTCAAGCCAAGAGGATGGAAATCCCGGAGAACAAGGTGGTTCTCTGTTCCATCACCATCAGTAACCAACTTGTAGCCCTTATCCATCAAATGGTTACCAAGGGCAACTGCGTTTGCCTTGACCTGCTGGATATAGGCCTTGAATACAGGTGACATGGTTTGTTTCAAGGCTACAGCTAGAGCAGCAATCTGGTGATTGTGAGGCTCCCCCTGGAGCGATGAGGACACAGCCAAGTTGATATTGTCCCCATAGTCATACAGGGCACCCTCAGGCTGACCCTTTTTCGGAGGCTTTGAGCGCTTCCTGTTGGTCCTCAAAGACTCCTGTTGGTCGTAGTGCCACATTGGAGTGCACAGAAGGATTCAAAGCCTCCTATAGAAGAGTGAAGAAACTAACATGGATGAAAAAAATAAAAGATACAAAATATGGGAGTTCTGCAGGAACCGTGGAAATTAGAAAGCTTAATTTGTAAATTTCAAATTTCTGCATTCATAACTACCGTGGCCAAATAATAGCATCATGTCAACATGCATTTGGTGTTCCATTTGTATGTTCATATAATAGAAAAGGGCTCCTCAAGTTCAGAGTTCATGACAATGAACTCTATGAAATTTTACTCCCTAACTCAGCTAGGCCGTCTTGTAGGACAAATTAATAACCGTCACAATAGAATTTTAGATACCTTTCAGGTTTATTTTGGCACGTGAAGTTTGAGTTGCTTTAGACCGTTACAATTTAGTTTCTTTAGTCGCCACACTAACACGACCAAAGAAATACTTGGACAGGTATTGCAAGTTCAATGCAGTTTACATACCTTGGGCTTGGCCTTGGGAAGTTCAGAATTGGGGTTGGGCGGTGCAATGCTGCTGCCGTATGTTGTGATTTGGCCACTCCGCCTCAGCGGCAACGGGAAGAGAAGACAGAGGTGCCGGTGCCCAGCCCCATTGACCTGCAGCTGCAGCACGCAAATCGGAAGAGAGCAATTAGATTTTGGTAGGCAAAAGGAGGACCGGCAGATCAAGAGGGGATCAGGAACACGACATGATCCAAAACGGATGGTGATGGAGGGGCACAGTAATAGATGGGCTTTCAGTTTTAGTTTAGAAACTTTCAGTTGTAGTTTACAGCAAAAAAAAAAAAATTGTCCTTTCTTCTAGCATAAACCATCAAAGAAATTACAGGAACTAAATCACTCATAAATAAATGGCAGCCTCTGAAATATTTAGTAAGCTAAACCTATTAAGAAAAGTTTAGTCTTTTAAACTGATCGAAAGTGTACCAGTAATGTACTGTACTAACAAAGAGAACACACAAGGCAGGAACTCAGAATTTATGACTGTTGGAACATATAATAGTAGTAACAGCAATACTAGAAAATGTATTAAAAATAAAAAGTTCTAGGAGTACTGGAGGGCATATTGTTATTGAAGAATGCTTTTTTTGTACAGCAGGAACATATAATGTCAGGTCAGTTTCTATTCATGAGCTTGCCAAAATCATACAAAAGGAACCTTCAATGAAGCACTTCACTTTGTAAACCTACAATAAAGAGAGCAAGGCAATATCACCTTAATCCCAATCAGACTTATCTTTTTACCATATATGGAGAAGCACACCAGTAAAATGTGTTCTTTTACAATTTATATGTGCTGTTACATTACATGATGTGACACCTAATTAGCATAGGGACACTTACCACAGCTTCACATGCAGTAAACTGTAGCACCTGAACCACAATTCCTGAACAAAGATGAAGATGGTTAATTTTCATATAAGTAGAAGATTGTGTCAGGTTCATTAGAGAGCCTGGCCTCCATATTCAGAGTAATTTCATAGCATTTCACGAGTCACCACATCCCACTTGTCGGAGCAAAATTGTTGCCTAACAATGTTTCTGAGCTAACTAATGCCACATCCACCATTGACTAAACGTGATGCATCAGAAACACTATCACCATCAACAAAATTAATCTTTTATGTTTTACAAATGAAAAGGGCTTGTGTGATGTGCATTACAAAGTTATAATAGAGCTAAAACCTACTGTGCATAACTGATGAGCACCAAAAGAATCTACAGATGGGTTTTGAGTATCACAAGTTCTAACACCTACTGTGCATACAAGTCTGCAAGTGCAATGTTATTAGACAAAGTTCATGGAAATAATGTACCTTTATCCTTTGAGCTTGGGAAATTGGACAGATGATCGATTGGATGCTGGATTGTTGGAGGAAGCTGATTTAGGAATAGGTAGCCCATCAAGGATGGTGGAGCAGAGATGAAAAAGCACAGGTTCAGTTCATATATCATATAAAAATAAATAGGTTCAAATCATATAAACGGGTTAACAATCCTGCAGCAAAAATCAATCTAACACAAATAGTTGATGTTCTAATTAACATCTCATAGCAAATTTGAATTTACCAAAATCACAAGCTATCTTAATTTCTGAAATACGAGGTTGGGACGAGCTCGCCTCACCTATGCTAAAACATATATAACAAACGCCAGCCCAGTCATAGAAAATACACCAGAGATGCACTATAAGGGATTCCTTAAGGTAATCACTACAACATCCAAATACACGCTCCATCAGAAACTATGATTCGACTGGAGGTGCATGCTTATGCTTGCTGCTGAACAGTTAAAAGATATGCATGGGAGGGAGAAAGACCTGGTCGGCTTGGATGTAGAAGGCCTCCATGTTCACTCTTGCACCCACGCTAGTGAAAGACATGCCACCAGATCCAGAGTCCTAGCTCACCGCGGCCACGGGCGTCACCAATCTGACCAACCAAAGGTGCAAAGTCAGATTTTTTTATCATAAGAATAACAAGATCCTACAGCTACATCTATAGGACAACTACTACTAATGCAATGGAGCAAGGCAAGCATTACCATAGAGGCATATGCTAACATAATAGTTCTGATAGGCAAAGCAACAATTGGAAAAAGAAAGACATGCTACATATGCATCCACAAACTATGAACCCCAACCACCGCAGATGAAGTTTGATTTTGTCTATAAAAAGAGCAAAGCATATCAATCCACACAGATGATGACAGATTAACTTGTAGTGAGCAAACATTTGAAAAATTTGTTCAGTTAATTTACCATCAAGGATATGTTATACTGAAAGTCCAAGTACCGGATAACAATTTGAACATGTTTTTTTTTCTAAACTTGATTGAACAAAAACTAAATTCACCTTTGTTAAGTGTAATCAAGGGCTCATTCAAGTTTGCAGTGAGAATTCCATCTTCTCTTAGTAATGCAGCAATAAAATGACACCGTGTAAGCCTATGACAAGATCAGACAAGACATGAACAGGTCAGAACTAAGGAAGAAAAAACAACCAGATATCATAGTACTGAATGCACTTCACAGAATACTAATAAGGCACTCAGAGTGGTGTTTGCATTATTATTGGGCTCGTACAACCACAGTTTAATCAACAATAAAATAAATTGTTGCCAGCCAACACATTTACAATATAGACATTGGCATGCCGGGACCTTAATTAGGCAAAAAGATTGAACCAATAAGAGCTGCAATTATTAAACAATGATTAGGCAATGGAATTTAAAAATCCTCCCTGCAGTTCGAGTTACACTTTACCTGCACACCAAACTGAAATTTAATGATAAAAAACAGTACATTGCTTCTGTACCAGCAAAGAGAACACAATTCATCCAACCAAAGTGCTGCAACCTAACAGTGAGGAGCACAAGTGAGCCGAGCTGCTGCTGTTGGGATGGATCAGCAGAGAAGGGAGGGGAGGAGATGAGAGTAGAGCATTGCGACTGATAGGGATGTACAGGTGAAGAGGACTACCAGAAACCACCTGGATCCATTGGAGGCTGCCATAGTCGCCGTCCACCTTGACGGATCCGGCCGTGGTTGCCGAATCCCACACTCTCCTGTATGTCTCTGGCCGTGGGCACCGTAATTTGACCCACACACAAGAACTCGCTGAGGGAGAGGCTAGAGAGTGGAGGCCAGCACGCCATCGGTAGGAAGGCCTAGGCCGCGTTCCACCTCTAGAGCGGCGACCGGATTGGGAAGGGGATTGGGAAGGGGTCGGCTCACTGGATTGAAGGCGCGGAGGCGCCCTGCCCGCCGGGCTCCTCCGCGTGCGTGACGGGTCGAAGACAGGAGGCGGCTGCTCGCGTCACCGCCCCTCGAGCCGCCATGGAGTACCAGCTAGCATCCTATCGCCGCCATGCTCGGCCTCTGGATCTGAGAGAGGATAGGAAGCAGGGAGAGAGAAGAGCAGAGAGGGAGGAGTCGAATATGAGGGAGAGAGATGCGGAGGGCCGCGAAGTGGTGGATGGGGCGCCGGCGCTCGGGGCGAGGTGGGTCGCGCGAGGCTAGAGCTAGCGCTAGCCGATGGAGCGGTGATTTGGGAGGGAGAAGAGCAGTGGCGGCGCTGATTCAGGGGAGAAACGTTTACCTCTATACTCTATGGGCCGGTCTAAAATTCACGCTCGAGCTGGGCTCAGGGGGACCATTTTTTAGCGACAGACTATATGACGATATAAGTCACTTTAGCGACAGACATTGAATCGCTAAATGAGGATTTAGTGTCAGATGGTCTCTGAGTTATCTTTAGCGTCAGATTATCCATCGCCAAAAATAATTTTTAGCATAAGATGTCTGATGGTGAAGCGGTGTTGTGGTGTAGTGTACTACAAGTCACGATCACAAGCGGGCCTACAATGATCGGTCCTCAATTGACATAGGCGGAGCATTACATTGAGACTCCATTCTTGATGCAAGCTACCGCCTGATCTCAATTTAACATTATCATGACCATGGTATATCACAACCCATAACCAGAGTTGAGAAGAGTAAGGTAAACCTATTTCTCTCGAACGATGAAATCATCATTCGACTTCTATCGAAGTCTAAGTATTACTAAGCATTAGAGATATCGATCTATTCATACTATCAGGGTAGAACTAAGGATACCTGAATATCAAGGTAATCATGCAACAACGGTATTCGACCAACTCCTAATACTTAATGCACATCTCACAAGACTTAAAGTGTAATTAAGATTTGTAAATACTAGAGAAGGGTGTATGCTCCGAGGCTTGCCTGCGTTGCAGGGAAGGTTAGTTCCACAGAGGATCACAGGAGTTAGGCTTGGTACTAACACCACGGTGGATGGACCTTCTCCGAAACTTGATCAACACGAGTCTTCTCACTCTCGTATGCACTACACGTAATAAATGATGCTTTACTTAATATGATGGAATGCATGACATGATGCACGATGGAAAACATCCTAGTGCATGACAGAAGATAAACAAAGTTAAGAAAGTTGAGCACAACTTTCCTTCACCAAGAAACTAGGATTATTATCATAAAGGCATTTTTAGTTATTTAATTAACAAGTCACTTGTTATCATCATGAACTTAACATGGACCAGCAAGTTATTCACATTTTCCTTAATTTATGATCATTATAAGGAACTCATAAGACTTCACTAAATATTTAATAAAACCATGTTAATAATTATATAAACAAGTTGATTCTATCAAGCAACTAATTACATTGCCAAGGAATAGCAGGGGTTTGAGTGTTCCAAGGTCCACAATCAAAGTATAAAATACACCAAAGTTATTTAAGTATTTATCTAAATCATTTTAGCATTTATTAATTAAAGAAAAAGGCATTTAAACACACTTAAATTAATTAACCAAGTTACTTTTATCAAAACAGGACCAAACTTTTTGTGAAGCCAGGTATTAGCATGTAAAGCATACACAAAAAGTTTCATGATGAAAGATTTAATATTTTAGCCTATAAAAATCATGGAAATTACATTTATTAATTAAAAGAGGTAATTTTTAAGCATATCAAAACTACTAAAAATTCTCAACTCATATTTTTCCTAGGTAGAGTAGCTCATAACAAAGCCACACACAAAATTTCATAATTTTATCATGCTCCAAAAAATAGTTATGAAATAAACAAAGATCTGCATGTAAAAGCATTTTCTAAAAAGAATAAATCATTTTCTGCGCCGACATCTTTTCTCACCCACCCATCACCTACCCACGCCCACTGACAACTAGGTCCTGGGGTCAACCTTAGCCCTGCCCGCCTTGACCGAGCCACCGCCGGCGGGTACGCGACGGAGCTCGCCGGCGGCGGGAACTCCGGCGAGGAGAACCACCCCGATGTGCTCCCCATCAACCCCCGCACCCAACCACGCTATTAGACGAATGTTTTAGGGCCTGGTTCATGCGCAGCCATGGCCATGGCGGCACGGCGCCACGATGGCGGGCTGGCTGGTCGGGACCCTATCCGACCTAGCTAAGCTACACGACATCTCTACGGTGCTCACTGTGACTTGTTGACACGTGCAGGGGAAGCGGGGACGGAGCAGAGGTGGTTGCCGGCATTGATGGTGGCGCAGACTAGCGGCGAGGCGACATTCCGATGTCCCTTGTATGATAGAGATAAAAACAAGGAGATGATGAGCTTTGTCACATCGTAAGGAAGCTATAATAGTAAAAGATAGGGCAGGGAAAGCTCAGGTGAGGCCTGGCCACGGTGAGGTCGAGCTCTGCGGCCATGGCAAGGTTGCTGCCATGGTAACAGCGCACGCGGCCGATTCTGGTTGTGCGAGGCAGTGCAAGTGGGTTGAGGAGGTGCATGAGGAGCAGGCGAGTCTATGGACGAGAGCTATTGGGCTGCGATGGCAAGGCGACGGCGAATTTTTGTCGGCAGCTAGAGGAGCTCGGCGGCGGCGTAGAAGGGAGAAAGAGAGGCAGACATGGGGGGCGAGACATTTTAACAGCGCGGGCGAGTTCTCCAGACATGACAGCACCTGCTTGATCTTGGCCATGCAAGCAGGTGCATGCCATCGCGTGAGGAAGCAGCAAACTAAGGCGGCAGCATCGGCGGCGAGCAGGCTAGCTGACTGCTGCCATGGTGAGCACTGTTCCTCAACTGAAACCACCAACTTCCCCTCTCTCTTTCTCTAGATTTTGCAAAACGACACACTGATTGGCCTTAAGCAAAGTTCTTCCCTGATCAGAGGTCTCCATCATTGCTTTAAAGGATCACACTCACCAAGTCACAAGTTTTGGGGATTTTGAATTTCAAAAGGGAGCACTTTAACACTGAAAACTGCATTTCAGTTAGAACTTGACAAAAACAGTTTTGTTAAGCAAACTTTGGGAATTAATTAGAGGCTAAACATGATTCAATCATTAAATCTAATTACACATTAACAAAGATTAAGCACCCCACCAATTAATAAAACAAAAATTGCACAATTTTTATTAATGAAAATTCAATCATTAATTCCCCAAAAATTGAACTTAATAACTTCACTTTAGAGACTTAACCAAATGGCTAAGTATGAGAATCTAGTTACTGAATTCAATTTCTGAGTTCAAAATTAAACATGTTTGACTTGAAAACATTTCATACCTTTGTTTCTATATCCAAGAACACACTTTAAACAACAAGGTTTATTTTAACAAAATTTTAATTATTTAAGCAAATTCTCCTACATAAATTCATAAAGTTTCATAATTGATAACAAGGATAACATTTCATGAAACATATAAAACACGACATATGCAACATGTGAATGAAACAATTGAAACTTAAAATACACAAATGACATGATACGTGGTAATCATGCTTCATGATGCTCATGATCAAACTTTTAGTTGCTTTTTAACATCTAGGATGTTACACGTTGCATGAAGATGAGGAAGCTACGCCAATGGAAGAGCAGGAGCAAGAGCAACCGATGGAGGTGGAAGATGACACACCCTACCTTGACTTGGAAGGAGACCAGGAGACACAAGCATACACCTCATCAAGAATCGCGAGTTCGTCCATACGCCTGCATATGACTCTGACCTTGTCCAAAAGATAGGTATGGATATCGAATTCTCCACTATTTGGAAAGCCGTTGGATGGGAGGACATTGCTGCCATTTGGGAGAAAGGTTCTCGTCTTCTGACGATCCAATTTTTATGCTCCCTGAAAGAAGTTGAGAATGGGATTACTTTCCGATTATTTAAACAAGAATATTTTCTTACTTGGAAAGATCTTAGTTCTCACTTAGGCTTCCAAAGAAAATGCTCAATTGACTTAGACCATTCTCTCAGATATTTTAATCACCATGAATTTTGGAGAGAAATTTCTGGTCAAAATATAGGTGGCAACTTTTAACCTCGTAATATGAACATACAACATCCTACTTTGAGACTGATGCATCGTTGGATTGCCATGATTTTGTTTCCTAGACAAGGTATATATGATTTGTTCACAATGCTGAATTACAACTGCTATATGCCATGGTTAAAAAGACTTGAATTGCTCCTGTGAAAGGAATGTTTAAATATTGGTTAGATCTATTCAAGGCTTCCACATATATCTCGTGGATGTGTCTTGGTACACGTATTGCCACTAGTATTGAAGTATCGGAAGGTCAAGATGTAGTTTACACTACCACTCCGCGTATCATTATTAATGACCATTACTTGTTGCAAGGGCATCATTTGAAATATAATGAAGCAGGGAAGCTTGTATTTTTCTTCCCTGGATATACGAATGAAATTCCATTACCTAACCTGGAACTTTGTTTGTATAAGTCATAGGAGCTAACCTTTTCTCTCGAACCCTGAGAGGAAGCACGCAGGAGTTCTGTGTCTGGTAGGTTGACAAAGAGCAAGGCTAGGAATGAAGAAGGCAGCTCACAGCAGCCACAGCCGTCACCATCTCCACCTATGCCTTAGGCGTACGATGCGGAGTGGTTCCTAGCTCAACAGGTGTCGGGGTTCACACCCGGGTACCATCCAGGCTAGGATAACACCCCGCAACCACACGAGGCTAGAGGATCAAGATGGAGAGAGGCTAATGACACAGAGTGGATGAGACCAGCCCACTCCTCTGACTCCGAGGGGTTACCTCTACCAGTCCAGCCATGACAGTCTGTTTTGGACCATCATGGGTGGGAAGCTATCAACACATGAC